CTGTCTCCGAACCCCCCCCCCCGGCTGTATAAGCCGTTTCGGTCAGACCCAAACCTGCCCGCTAATTCGTATCGATTTCAGAGGGTTCCCAATGTGTCTCCCCCTATGCCCCACTTTTCTCTTCTTCTCTCAGCCCCCCATTACCTTCACCTCCTCTTCCTTCCGTCGTCACTTCTGCCGCGTCCCCCACATCTGCCCTGGTGGGGAAGGGGGAGCGAATTTCATACCCCCATGCCTAGCACCCAGACCCAAACCTGCCCGCTAATTCGTATCGATTTCAGAGGGTTCCCAATGTGTCTCCCCCTATGCCCCACTTTTCTCTTCTTCTCTCAGCCCCCCATTACCTTCACCTCCTCTTCCTTCCGTCGTCACTTCTGCCGCGTCCCCCACATCTGCCCTGGTGGGGAAGGGGGAGCGAATTTCATACCCCCATGCCTAGCACCACTGTCGCCCCCTCCTCGGCCACTACCCTGAGCCTGGCAGAGAGCCCCGGCACCACCTCTAGCGTAGGGGAGTCTGGAACCACCTCGAGCGCCGCAGAAAGCTCCGGCGCCTGATGTTTAATAAGGGCGGTGTTGTCAAGAAATCGTTTCCCACAGTCCAGACATTTATAAGGTCTCTCTCCTGTGTGCATTCGCTGATGTTTAATAAGGGCGGTGTTGTCAAGAAATCGTTTCCCACAGTCCAGACATTTATAAGGTCTCTCTCCTGTGTGCATTCGCTGATGTTTAATAAGGGCGGTGTTGTCAAGAAATCGTTTCCCACAGTCCAGACATTTATAAGGTCTCTCTCCTGTGTGCATTCGCTGATGTTTAATAAGGGCGGTGTTGTCAAGAAATCGTTTCCCACAGTCCAGACATTTATAAGGTCTCTCTCCTGTGTGCATTCGCTGATGTTTAATAAGGGCGGTGTTGTCAAGAAATCGTTTCCCACAGTCCAGACATTTATAAGGTCTCTCTCCTGTGTGCATTCGCTGATGTTTAATAAGGGCGGTGTTGTCAAGAAATCGTTTCCCACAGTCCAGACATTTATAAGGTCTCTCTCCTGTGTGCATTCGCTGATGTTTAATAAGGGCGGTGTTGTCAAGAAATCGTTTCCCACAGTCCAGACATTTATAAGGTCTCTCTCCTGTGTGCATTCGCTGATGTTTAATAAGGGCGGTGTTGTCAAGAAATCGTTTCCCACAGTCCAGACATTTATAAGGTCTCTCTCCTGTGTGCATTCGCTGATGTTTAATAAGGGCGGTGTTGTCAAGAAATCGTTTCCCACAGTCCAGACATTTATAAGGTCTCTCTCCTGTGTGCATTCGCTGATGTTTAATAAGGGCGGTGTTGTCAAGAAATCGTTTCCCACAGTCCAGACATTTATAAGGTCTCTCTCCTGTGTGCATTCGCTGATGTTTAATAAGGGCGGTGTTGTCAAGAAATCGTTTCCCACAGTCCAGACATTTATAAGGTCTCTCTCCTGTGTGAGTCCTTTGATGTGAAATCAGATTTGAGTTCCAGCTGAATGTTTTCCCACACTCCAGGCATTTATAGGGTTTCTCACCCGTGTGCGTTCTCTGATGGGAAATAAGGTAGGAGCTTTGATTGAAACTTTTCCCACAGTCCAGGCACTTGTAGGGTTTCTCTCCTGTGTGGCTGCTCTGATGGGAAATAAGATCCGAGCTCAAAACAAAGCTTTTCCCACAGTCCAGGCATTTATAGGGTTTATCTCCGGTGTGGGTCCTCTCGTGCCTGATAAGATCCGAGCTCTGAATGAAGCTTTTCCCACATTCCAGGCACTTATAGGGTTGTTCACCGGTGTGGGTTCTCTGATGCCTAATAAGGTTTGAACCCTGGTTGAAGCCTTTCCCACAGTCGAGGCATTTATAAGGTTTCTCTCCCGTGTGGATCCGCTGGTGGGTCTTGAACTGGGAGCGGTCGCCGAAGCGCTTCCCGCAGTCCGGGCACTTGTAGGGCCGCTCGCCGGTGTGGGTGCGCTGGTGCTGCAGGAAGGTGGAGCCCCGGCTGAAGGCCCGCCCGCACTCCCCGCACTTGTAGGGCCGCTCCCCCGTGTGGATCTTCTGGGCACTCCGGGCACTGGAAGGGGCGCGCCGACGGGGCAGGGTGGGAAGGTGGGTGGCCCAGGGGAGGCCACGCTGCAGAGGCTGGGTGCGAACTGCCAGCGAGATCAAAGGCAGGGGGGTTCCCCATGCCGGCGTGCAACCCGAGCTCCCGGTCCTCGTGCGAAACCCCACGGAAACTGAGCTCGACATCCTCATCCGAGTCGGCGTGCAACCTGAGCTCCCTGTCTTCATGCGCGCCACCCTGGAAGCTTAGCTCGTCATCCTCGTGCGAGTTGGAGTGCGACCCGGCGTTGCCATCCTCGTGCAAACCACGAGGGAAGCTTAGCTCGTCATTCTTGTGCGAGTCAGTGTGCAAACCGAGCTCGCTGTCTTCTTCTGAGCCACGATGGAAGCTGAGCTCACCATCGTCATCTGAGCCAGCGTGTAACCCGAGCTCACTGTCCTCGTGCGAGCTGGCATGCAGCCCGAACTCACCTTCTTCATCTGAGCCAGCAGGGAAGCAGAACTCGCCGGCATGCAGCCTGAACTCACCATCCTCGTGCAAGCCGTCATGCAGTCCCAGTGCACCATCCTCGTGCAAACCATGGTGGAAGTCGAGCTCGCCATCTTCATCTGAGCCAGCGTGCAACCCAAGCTCGCTGTCCTCGTGCGAGGCGGTGTGGAGACCCAGCTTGCCGTCATGGTGCAAGCCACGAGGGTAGCTGGTCCCGTAGGCTGCGGGGCTGCCGTCCGGTGGGGAAAGGATGTCTCCAACTGCTCCAGTGCCAGCTGGGCTGTCTGGCCCCCACTCCTCGTTATCCGACCAGCACTGGATGTCACACGAGATCTCCCGCTCCGAGCCAGCTGGGCTCCGGGGCTCTTCCTCCGCCCACGGAGAGGGGCTGCGCTCTTCTGCCGCGCTCATGACTGGCACTGCGCCAAGAAGAGAGAAAGTCAGGGAGTGCTGGGCCCCGAGCCCCTATCCCTGGCTCTGGGAGGGAGCGGGGTCCACTGGGAAGAGCCGGGGGGGGGCTGGGAGCCGGGTCTCCGGGTTCTAGTCCCCGGGATTGAAAGGCTGCAGGATGTAATTACTGGGAAGGGGGGGGTGTGAACACACACTCGGGGCCCAATCCTGGGGGGGGAGGGGGGGGGCTGGGAGCCGGGTCTCCGGGTTCTAGTCCCCGGGATTGAAAGGCTGCAGGATGTAATTACTGGGAAGGGGGGGGTGTGAACACACACTCGGGGCCCAATCCTGGGGGGGGGTTGAGACGCACATCTGTTGTTCCCTATTTGCCTCTCTTTCTTCCTTCAGAAATCAGTTCTACTTTCCTGCATCTCAGTGTAATCCACTGGTAAGCATGTATTTTGGATTCCCCTCTGTATCTGCTCTGCAGAACACGGTAGTTTGTTACAGTTTTAGCTCTGACAGCTTCCAACTTAGTTAGGAGTGAGCAAGGGACCTCCAGAGCTAAAATTATGAATTGCTACAGCTTGATCTTAAGCTCTCTAGCTGAGACAGTAACCGCTTCCTCCTCTGCTGGCCAGCCATAGTGGAAGGAGGTCCTGTAAAACACACTCATCAATAGGTCACACATCCACCTCTACCTAACAAAGCTGTATCTGCTCTACAAGGAAGATTATTTTTAAGAATTATCAATCCACTCTTCCTCCCCCATTTCCACCAACTACAAGTTTAACTTTACTTACTGCGTTAATATAGTAAGGTCAACTGTGGAATACTTCTTCCCTGAAATATCCCAGTTCAATGCAGTTCCACTAAGTGTGCCTGATTAAGTTAATAGTGATAGAGATGTAGCTGTGTTAGTCTGGTGTAGCTGAAACAAAATACAGGTCTATGTAGCACTTTAAAGACTAACAAGATGGTTTATTAGATGATGAGCTTTCGTGGGCCAGACCCACTTCCTCAGATCAAATAATGGAAGAAAATAGTCACAACCATATATACCAAAGGATACAATTTTAAAAAAATGAACACACATGAAAAGGACAAATCACATTACAGAACAGAAGGGGCATGTAGAGGGGGGGGGGACGGAAGGAGGTGAATGCCAGTGAGTTAATGGTATTAGAGGTGGGGAAGGGGAGATGTCTGTGAGTTAATAGAATTAGAGGTGATAATGGGGGAAGCTATCTTTGTAATGGGTAAGATAGCTGGTGTCTTTGTTAAGTCCCGTGCGGAGAGTGCGGAGATTCATACTACATTCATACCATCAATACAGCTAGTACTGTTGCCATCTAGTGGTTTAAATTGAGTTTTGTAAACAAATGTATACCAATCTCTTTTTTTACTGTTACATCTAAATTCTCAGCCCAGAAGACTCTTTTACATCTCGTTCAAACATCTCAAAAGCTTTAAACGAGTCAAAAGGTAGGATGTGTTGCTCATTGAACTATACAGTACAGTACTTTAATTACAGCTTATAATTTCTGGCAAAGGCGTGGAGGATGAGGGGCAGAGTGAGGGCACCTAGCTTCCCTAATTAAAATCTAGGGGAGCATGTGACCCCTCATATCTCCTCCCCAGCCTCAATATGCTTTCAGGTATAACTTTGTGCACTCCAATACAGTGGAAAAGATGAATTTCATCCAGTACTTTATCAAAACTCTGATATTTCAAGTATTGCTCAGTCACTTGGCCTATGCAAGGAACTGTGAAAATAATTGAGAGCCTCCTGACAACTGAATTACAATAACTTAATAGAATAGTTTTTAAATAATGATCCATCCTAAAAATTATGCTTTTAATACATTTAGGATAATTAGGTCAGTGGTTCTCAACTGAGAGTATGTAGAGACTTCATTAACTCATCTATATATTTGCCTAGTTTTACCACAGGCTGAATAAAAACCAATAGCTAAGTCAGTACAAACTAAAATTTCATACAGTTACTTATACTGCTTTATATACTGCACATTGAAATGTAAAGCACTGGACCCCAACCGGAGCCACCCGTTTTTGTTGGCCATGTTCCTGGAGGTGTCCCTGCGTGGCCGTCTTCCAAGAACGATTAATCTTTAATTCCTGGAGAGTCCAGCACAGACCTGCAGGGACACGAATCCAGCCTCCAAGTATTTTAGCAGCCTACACCCCGCGCTGACTTGATAGGAAAAAAAATCCTTCAACTCCCCCCCCCCCCCATGTTGATTTTATTCCCCATCAAAACAACTGGATATATTTTTTAAATATAACAGGCCTCAGGCCTGGTGGAATGAAACAAAAATCCCTATTTGGAACATAAACCAATGCATTTTATTTCCGCTTGATCCCAATGAAAGCGCTTTACACCACAGGCAATATTTAAGACAGCATCTGATCAAAACTAGGTGCAAGTTCATATTTATATAACAATGACATATCTTCACTTTTTCAATTGTGCTGCTTTTTTTAAAACACAAAGGCTACGTCTAGACTGGCAAGAATTTCCACAAATGCTTTTAACGGAAAAGTTTTCCGTTTTAAAGCATTTTCGGAAAAGAGCGTCTAGATTGGCACGGACGCTTTTCCGCAAAAGCACTTTTTGCAGAAAAGCATCTGTGCCAATCTAGATGCGCTTTTCCGCAAAAAAAGCCCCGATCGCCATTTTCGCGATCGGGGCTTTTTTGCACAAAACAAATCTCAGCTGTCTACTCTGGCCCTTTTGCGCAAAAGTTTTGGGCAAAAGGGACTTTTGCCTGAACAGGAGCAGCAAAGTATTTCCGCAAAAAGCACCGATTTCTTACAGTAGGAAGTCAGTGCTTTTGCGGAAATTCAAGCGGCCAGTGTAGACAGCTGGCAAGTTTTTCCGGAAAAGCGGCTGATTTTCCGGAAAAACTGGCCAGTCTAGACACAGCCAAAGTGAAAATGTTTCACTTTCTCTAGTGGAAACGGAATAGAAATTATTTTTGTAATAGTCAAATACATTAACTTTCTGCTTAAACTGAATCAAATCCTTCTATTTATACCCAATTCGATATTTGACTTTTCCTCATAATAACAAAGTGAAAATGCAAATTGTACATTTTACACACACACACACACAATTATTTTCTGATAAAAATAAGAAGAAAATCAGCTTTTGTACTAACTGCAATGTCAGGGTTTTCCTAATCAAAACAATTTCCATTAGGGCTCAATAAACACAAAATGCCATTCAGGTTTGGGCTTTATTTTGACTGTGTTGGTCAAAATTCACCTTTTTGGTTTCTAAACAATTTTGTTAAAAGTCCTGCAAAATGACATTTTGGGGAAAAATCACTTTGCATCAAGCAAAATGTTCCAATTTCAATCTTTAAAAAAGTCATGTTCTATGAACAATGATGTATAGTTATAGTAAATGTACAAGTGTAAACACTATGACATATTGTGTATGAAATATAGTTTGCATATGCACACATTTATCATTTAAATATTCTATACAGCACATAGTTTAAATTTAATTTTGGTTTACATTTATAGCCATGAATATTCAGCTTGGGAGAACTAGATTTCTATTTTCTACTCAGGACAGATGCTGATGTTTATTTTTAAACTTTTAAAAGTTTAATCAGTGTAAAGTGTCAGAGCTGCAGGAAATTCTGTGTGTGCCCAACAACTATTTCATGACAAAGGCTGAATTCTCATGCCACATTTTGTGTTTTGATTCTCTGTCCATGATTACCAGTGGAATAGTTTTTCATCACTTTGGGAACGTGGATGGCAAAATTGACATTTACAACATTAGCAGATGCCAATCGAATTCTTCCAAGCCTAGTTGAGAATTAGGTCACATAAAATTAAAAAAATCAAAATGAAACAAGCAAACAAAACATTGAAATGCCCTGATCTGATCCCCCCCGTATCCTGCTCCCGGAAATGTCATCCCAGTGTTTCCATGGCATGCTTCCCCACACAAACATATTCCCTCTTTGGAAAATGCCCCACCAGCTGTAGCCAGGAGCAGCTTTACTTGTGAACACTCACCCAGCCGTGTTTGTCACACTGTCGTTTCACGGTGTAGCCGCAAGAACAGCTGATCTGCAGTTGGCGTTCAGGGTCCCACTGCAATACCTTGGCTGTGTCTGGACTGGCAAGTTTTTCCGCAAAATCAGCCGCTTTTCCGGAAAAACTTGCCAGCTGTCTACACTGGCTGCTTGAATTTCCACAAGAACACTGACTTCCTAGTGTCTGAAATCAGGGCTTCTTGCGGAAATACTGTGCTGCTCCCGTTCGGGCAAAAGTCCTTTTGCGCAAAGCTTTTGCACAAAAGGGCCAGTGTAGACAGCTCAGATTTGTTTTCCACAAAAAAGCCCCAATCGTGAAAATGGCGTTCGAGGTTTTTTTTGCGCAAAAGCGAGTCTAGATTGGCCACGGACGCTTTTCCGCAAAAAGAGCTTTTGTGGAAAAGCGTCTGTGCCAATCTAGACGCTCTGTTCCTCAAATGCTTTTAACGGGAAACTTTTCCGTTAAAAGCATTTGCGGAAATCATGCCAGTCTAGACGTAGCCTTCTGTTCTTGTCCTCAGGGTGAGTTCCCCAAGATGCCCCTTATTTCCAGTCTGAACTGGTCTGCCATTGGTTCCTGTTAGACCATGGGTTCCCAAACTGGGGGGTGTGCCCCCTGGGGGGCGTGAAAAAATTCCAGGGGGGGCACGAGGCAACCCAGACTCCCCCCCCCCCCGTCAATCCCACTTTGAATTTTGCTGCTATGTTTTTGGGAGCGGGGGCGTGAGGGTTCCTCAAAAATCAAAAAGAGGGCACGATGCCGAAAAGTTTGGGAACTGCTGTGTTAGGCCTGTGTCAGCCAGGCTGGACAGCCACTGATCACTGTTCTGCTCCTGCCTGAGGTGTTTACAGAGCACGACCAAGTCACCCTTTAGCCCTCTGTGCTCCTGGAACTAGCCAGAGCTCCGGGAATCTCTCTCAGGCAGGCTGCCCGACCCATTGACCCTTCTCACGGCTCTTCTCTGCCCCCTCTCCGATCCATCACTGTCCTTGAGTGGGGGCCCCGGAACTGGACACAGGACCCCAGCAGCAGGGCCGCAGTGGGAATCACCTCTCAGCTCCTACTCGCCATTCCCCTGTGTGTGCCCCCAGGACCACACTAGCTCTTCCGGCCAGGGCGTCGCGCTGGGAGCCAGCATTCCCTGGAAGCGGGACGCAGGAAAAATTCGAATACTGCCTAGCTGGTTAGCAGGGCACCCACCGCTAGGTTGGTGTTTCTCCTGGTGGTGCACATCTTCACACACTGTGATGCACATAACAAAATTTATTCTACACAGATGGAAAAAATCCGCGCATGGGTAGAAAAGAGTAGAGGAAACATTGGGGGTTCGTGCTGGGTTGCATGTCCATGAGGATCTTGTTGGAGTCCCTGCTTGGCAGGGTGCAGTCTGGCCTTGTGCTCCGTTCCTTCTTGCTTCGGAGAACCAAACAGCTGGCTCTGACGAGTCTGAGGATGATGGCCATTCATCAATAATCCATTGTCTGGCTCAGGGGGCTGGGGAATGGATCACAGGGCCTGACCCCTCTAGGGGCACCAGCTGCCAGTTGGCCCTTGGGCAGGGGCTTGGCTGGCTCAGGGGGCTGGGGAAATGGGACAAGGGGCCTTTCCCTGCTAGGGGGCACCAGCTCCGTCTGGCCCCGGAGCAGGGTAAGGCTGACTCAGGGCAGGGGGCAGATTTTCAGGGGGGTAGCATTCCCCCCTGAATCATACAGCCCAGGGCAGAAATAGGGATACACTCTCTCTGCAAAGCGCGCGCTGAAGGTATAGAGGTGGGACATGCTGTGGGCGTCGTAGAAGGAAACCTGGCCCCCTTCGTAGTCCAGGTAGACCCCGATCCTGTGGGGCAGGTTCTGGGGGCGGAGCACCACTGGGGGCGTGTCCTTGGCCATGAGCTCAGTCCCGCCCCGGAGCCGAATGACCCAGAAGCCCTTGCTGGGGGAGGCCTGGATCTTCCCCTTGCGGTTGATGGAGGCATGGACCACGCCCAGCGTCCACGCCTGCTTCTCCCCAACCTCCACCTCCCAGTAGCACCTCCCGGAGGCGAACGCCGCCGCGCCCAGCACAGCCACGCAGAAATCGAAGCGGGCGGGAGTGTCGGGGAGGGGCTGGCGGTGGTGTCCGCCCTGCTGCAGATCTGGAGAGGGACAAGAAGGGGGTGGGGGAGGGAGGGTTAAATCGAGGCCCCCTGCAGCACTGAGCTGCTAAGGGCCAGCCCTGCCAGCCAGGGGAGAGCGCCCCCTGCTGGGCCCTGCCCCACAGCGCCCCCTGGCACCACCCTGGGGCACTGGGCCAACCCAGAGCGCTCCCCGCAGGTCCCCTGCAGCACAATGCCCCTTAGTGCCACCCTGGTGCACTGGGACAGCCCTGCCTGCCTGGGGAGAGTGCCCCCTGCTGGTCCCCTGCAGCACATCACATCACCCCCTGGTGCATTGGGCCAGCCCTGCCTGCTAGGGGACAGCACTCCCTGCTGGGCCCTGACCCCTCCCTGCCCCACAGCGCCCCCTGGCACCACCCTGGGGCACAGGGTTAGCCCTGTCTGCCAGAAGACAGCGCCCCCTGCTGGTCCCCTGCAGCACAGTGCCCCCTAGCACCACCCTGGTGCATTGGGCCAGCCCGGGGAGAGAGCCCCCTGCTGGGCCCTGCCCCCTCCCTGCCCCACAGCGCCCCCTGGCACCACCCTGGGGCACAGGGTTAGCCCTGTCTGCCAGAAGACAGCGCCCCCTGCTGGTCCCCTGCAGCACAGTGCCCCCTAGCACCACCCTGGTGCATTGGGCCAGCCCGGGGAGAGAGCCCCCTGCTGGGCCCTGCCCCCTCCCTGCCCCACAGAGCCCCCTGGCACCAGCCCTGCCTGCCAGGGGAGAGCACCCCTTGCTGGGCCCTTTTCTCTTACCGATGCTGAGGATGGATTTCATGTCCTTCCAGGCAGTATACTGGATTGGCCCTTTAAACTGCCCCAGGATCTGCCACATGGACCCTGTATTTGGCCCACGAGGCGTAGCTAGATGCTGCTTCGCCCTGTATAAGGGGGGAGAACCGCCCCGGCCACAGCGTGTTAGGGACTGAGCAATGGGGAAGGGGGTGTGGGGAGGGACCAAGGAACACGGCGGACTTACCAGGTCAGGAAGGATTTGATGTCCTGTGAGGGACGGACACAGAGAGAGAGAAGCAATAAGTATAGCTCTGTCTCTTTAAGGCCCTGTGTGGGACTTGGGGCGCCAGCTCAGGGGACTCCCTGCGTGGGGTGGGGAGCAGACACGGGGCTCTTCCACACTAGGGGGCGCTGGACTCACCGTCAGGAACTCCGCAACGTCCCCTTGGGGCAGGGGGCCCTGGGTCTCCGTGAGCATCTCCCGCGCCGCGTGGCATTTCCCCTCCAGCTCCTGCAGGTTCCTCTCCAGCGCCCGCAGCTGCCTGCTGCCCGCCTGCCGCAGCCCCATCTGCCACTGCTCCTCCCGGGTGGCCAGCCAGCCCTGCAGCTTCCCGAACTCCGCCGAGATGTGATCCCCCAGGCCGAGCACCGTCGCCTGGAGAACAGGGACCCGCCCAGTGCCCAGAGGATGCAGCGGGACCAGCACCCCAGGAGCTAGCGCTCCCAGGTACCTGCCTGCATCCTGCTCACCCTCTCTGGGGACCCAGCAGCCCACGTGCTTGCTAATACAACCCCCAGGCACCTCGAGGTTACACTGGAGTAATATTCCTCCAGCTACTCGAGTATCCAGCAGCTTCTACCTAACTACTCTCTGTGGCTACTCCTTCTGTAAGTCATCTCCACTGCGGACCAGGTAACTCCATGCGCAGCGCCAGGCAAACACGCAGAAAGCTGGGAATTGTTAAGAAAGGGAGCGAGGATAATCCAGGGTACAGCCCCATCTTGAATACTGTGTGCAGATGTGGTTGCCTCACCTCAAAAAACTACCTTTGGCATGGGAAAAGATTCAGAGAAGGGCAACAAAAATGCGGAGGGGTTTGGAACGGGTCCCATATGAAGAGAGATTAAAAAGACTGGGGGGGATATGACAGAGGTCAATAAAATCAGGACAGGTGTGGAGAAAGTGAGCAAGGAAAAGTTCTTTACTGGCTCCCATAACATCAGAACTAGGGGTCATCCAATGAAATGAACAGGTAGCGGGTTTAAAACAAACCAAAGGAAGTTTTTCTTCACGCAGGGCGCAGACAACCTGTGGAACTCCTCGCCAGAGGATTTGGTGAAGACCAGGACTTTAGCAGGGTTCAAAAAAGAGCTAGATAGATTCCTGGAGGTTAGGTCCATCAGTGGCTACTAGCCAGGTTGGGTAGGGATGGGGTCCCTGGCCTCTGTTTGTCAGGAGCTGGGGAGGGAACACTTGATGCTTCCCTGTTGTGTTCCCTCCCTCCGGGGCCCGGCCGTCAGCCCACTGGGTGAGATGGGCCTTTGGTCTGACCCCGTCTGGCCATTCTGATGTTCTTATCTCCCAGCGATGGGAAGACTCAAGTCTATGGCATAGTCACAGATACCCCCAGCCCTGCCCTTCACAGCTACTCGGCCCTGCTGGCCCCCAGAGCCCATGTGGGGGTGGGGGGTCCAGGCTCCTGCCCTTCCCGCCACCCAGCCCCAGGTACCTGGTGGTTCCAAATCCTTTCTTCCACCTCCCTCTTCAGCCGCAGGAGCTGAGCGAGGCTGGACTCCAGCTGGGCTTCAGCTGAGGCCGGCTCTTCCTACAGGGCAGGAAACAGGCTGGAGGTGAGGGTGGGGGATCACAGGCCAGAGCCCCCACTCTCCCCCCAGAGTGGGGGACAGAGCCCAGGCTCCCCGTCTCACCTGGTGCTGTACGGTGGCCTGGTGGGTGGGGTTCCCGTGCGTGGCTGGTCCCCCACGGATCTCCCTGCTGCATTCTCCCTCCATCTTCCGGGGTTCGTTGTAGCCCTGGCCCCTGCCCTCTGGGCGCGCCCTCTCCCCTGCCCCACCAGGGCTCACCCCCCTGGCCTGGTCGATCAGCTTGCCCAGCAGCCTGCAGGGGGCATATCTCCGGTCGGGGCAGAGCTCCCGGCATTCAGGGCAGGCTGGAGGGACCCCCATGGTGCCCCACGCTGTCTCGATGCAGCCCTGGCAGTAGGTGTGGCCGCAGGGGAGCGTGACGGGAGCCCGCAGCCAGTCCAGGCACACAGGGCAGGAGAACTCCTCCGAGAGACAGCCCAGTTGGGGGGGATTGGAAGCCATGAGGGGCAGATCCTGGCTCCCCCTGTTGTAACTACCAGGCCCCACTGCCCTCCCTGAGCCCGGGAGAGAGCCCAGGAGCTGCTGTGTGCTGCGTCCACAGGGAAACCCGGGGAAAGGTGCGGCCAGCTGGGTGACAGGTTAGGTTTGCTCTGCGCTCGGTGAGTTTATCACCCACAGGGGGTGTGCCTGGGAGCAGGGCCCAACACACCCAGCCAGGGAGCGATGCTCAGAGATAGACAGGCACAGGCACACGCACAATCGCTCTCCCCCACACATGCTGACAGCCAGAATTACACCCACACCGAGGCCACAGACACACACACACACACACACACACACACACACACACACACACACACACACACACAGAGAATCTCTTTCTCTCTCGCACAACCACCCCCGAATGGCCAGAAATTTGATACACGCACTGAGCTGGACTCATTTCTCAGCCTCGCAGGAGGCAGCCCGGCTCTTAGCCCTGCCGAGCAGGGCAGGTCTGAGGGGAACACACTGTGCTTACCCACCCCAAAATCTAGGGGCGACATTTCACCCTGCGGCTGGGGGCCCAAAGACCCCACTAACTCCCCTCTCCTAGGGCGGGGGGGCAGAGCGGCCAGACAGGGACAGACCAAAGGTTCAGTTAGCCCAGTGTCGCCCGTTCCAAGCCCCTGGCACAGAGGCCAGGGACACCCACCCTGCCCAGCCTGGCTAGTAGCCATTGCTGGACTCAGCCTCCATGGACTCACCAGGAGCCCTTGTGCGCCCTGTCACGTCCCCTGCCCTCCCCAGGCTCCAGTGGGATTGAGAGAACCCAGGAGTCCCGGCTCCCATGCGGCTCTAACCACTAGCCCCCACTGCCCCTCCAGAGCCAGAGAGAACCCAGGAGTCCCGGCTCCCATACGGCTCTAACCACTAGCCCCCACTGCCCCTCCAGAGCCAGAGAGAACCCAGGAGTCCCGGCTCCCATGCGGCTCTAACCACTAGCCCCCACTGCCCCTCCAGAGCCAGAGAGAACCCAGGAGTCCCGGCTCCCATACGGCTCTAACCACTAGCCCCCACTGCCCCTCCAGAGCCAGAGAGAACCCAGGAGTCCCGGCTCCCATGCGGCTCTAACCACTAGCCCCCACTGCCCCTCCAGAGCCAGAGAGAACCCAGGAGTCCCGGCTCCCATACGGCTCTAACCACTAGCCCCCACTGCCCCTCCAGAGCCAGAGAGAACCCAGGAGTCCCGGCTCCCATGCGGCTCTAACCACTAGCCCCCACTGCCCCTCCAGAGCCAGAGAGAACCCAGGAGTCCCGGCTCCCATACGGCTCTAACCACTAGCCCCCACTGCCCCTCCAGAGCCAGAGAGAACCCAGGAGTCCCGGCTCCCATGCGGCTCTAACCACTAGCCCCCACTGCCCCTCCAGAGCCAGAGAGAACCCAGGAGTCCCGGCTCCCATACGGCTCTAACCACTAGCCCCCACTGCCCCTCCAGAGCCAGAGAGAACCCAGGAGTCCCGGCTCCCATGCGGCTCTAACCACTAGCCCCCACTGCCCCTCCAGAGCCAGAGAGAACCCAGGAGTCCCGGCTCCCATACGGCTCTAACCACTAGCCCCCACTGCCCCTCCAGAGCCAGAGAGAACCCAGGAGTCCCGGCTCCCATGCGGCTCTAACCACTAGCCCCCACTGCCCCTCCAGAGCCAGAGAGAACCCAGGAGTCCCGGCTCCCATACGGCTCTAACCACTAGCCCCCACTGCCCCTCCAGAGCCAGAGAGAACCCAGGAGTCCCGGCTCCCATGCGGCTCTAACCACTAGCCCCCACTGCCCCTCCAGAGCCAGAGAGAACCCAGGAGTCCCGGCTCCCATACGGCTCTAACCACTAGCCCCCACTGCCCCTCCAGAGCCAGAGAGAACCCAGGAGTCCCGGCTCCCATGCGGCTCTAACCACTAGCCCCCACTGCCCCTCCAGAGCCAGAGAGAACCCAGGAGTCCCGGCTCCCATACGGCTCTAACCACTAGCCCCCACTGCCCCTCCAGAGCCAGAGAGAACCCAGGAGTCCCGGCTCCCATGCGGCTCTAACCACTAGCCCCCACTGCCCCTCCAGAGCCAGAGAGAACCCAGGAGTCCCGGCTCCCATACGGCTCTAACCACTAGCCCCCACTGCCCCTCCAGAGCCAGAGAGAACCCAGGAGTCCCGGCTCCCATGCGGCTCTAACCACTAGCCCCCACTGCCCCTCCAGAGCCAGAGAGAACCCAGGAGTCCCGGCTCCCATACGGCTCTAACCACTAGCCCCCACTGCCCCTCCAGAGCCAGAGAGAACCCAGGAGTCCCGGCTCCCATGCGGCTCTAACCACTAGCCCCCACTGCCCCTCCAGAGCCAGAGAGAACCCAGGAGTCCCGGCTCCCATACGGCTCTAACCACTAGCCCCCACTGCCCCTCCAGAGCCAGAGAGAACCCAGGAGTCCCGGCTCCCATGCGGCTCTAACCACTAGCCCCCACTGCCCTCCCAGAGTCAGAGAGAACCCAGGAGTCCCGGCTCCCATGCGGCTCTAACCACTAGCCCCCACTGCCCCTCCAGAGCCAGAGAGAACCCAGGAGTCCCGGCTCCCATACGGCTCTAACCACTAGCCCCCACTGCCCCTCCAGAGCCAGAGAGAACCCAGGAGTCCCGGCTCCCATACGGCTCTAACCACTAGCCCCCACTGCCCCTCCAGGCGCTGTTCGAACACTCTCAGCCTCTCCCCTACAAAGGGCTGCCTGGCCCTTTAAATTCCCGGCCCTCCCCCCCCCGCCTCGCCCACTGTTGCGATCTGATTGGATAGCAGTAATGAGGAAGTAATCGCTGATTGGTTAGAGGGAGTATAAAAAAGACGAATCAGTTTTCTTTCTGACTGGCTGCTCGGTCCATCTATCCGTCCCTAGATCAGCCAATCCCTAAGAGAGGGCGGGGTTTAGGTTAGACACTCTCTTTCTGATTGGCTGGGAACCACTCTGTGATTGGTCAATCCCTGCTGGGCGGTGGCGTTTCGGTAAAAATCGCCGTCGCCCTGCTCCTCTACTCTGATTGGCTAATTTCTCAAGAAGCTAGTCCGTGATTGGCCACGCCTTGGGAGGGCGGGAATTGCGTAAGGAAGCCCTCTCCCTCGCGCGATTGGCTCATCCGCCAGAGAGTGGGCGGGACTTGGAGCCGCCCGGCCCCTGCGCGCTTCTGCGGGTCTCGCCCCTTCCTCCGCCGTGATTGGCCGGGCGGGCGGGGCGACGCCACATCCGGGCATTCGGGGCAGGCGCTGGGAGCGGCGGACCCGAGGGGGAACCGGCCCGCGGTTGGGGAGGCGCGGGGCGCGAGCTGGTGAGAGAGGCCGCGGGGCCCCGCCCCCCGGGGCAACCCCGCCCCCAGC